CGCCTCTATTTTCCAGGCTGGGCCCTGCTCCGCGGCTGGCGCTCACCGACAGTTCCAGCTCCCGTAACGGCTCCTCCCGCCGCCGCCGGCTGCTCCCGCCGATACCTCAACCCACTAGAACTTTCTCCCACTTCCGCTTCCGGGTCGCCTCAAGAGCCGCCTAAAAAAATTAAATTTGGCACTTCTAGCTGCTTAGAGCCATAGAGTTGAGGCGCTCTGGACCTCCACGGCAACCTTAGTAGACGTTCCTTTTCGGTCGACTCGCGGGAAGCCGGGCTGCCTTGTTTGATTTCTCTTCTCGGGCAGCATTTCCGGTCTCAGAGCAGAGGCCTCGGTGAAGAAAACTTTTTTTCCCCGCTGCACGGCATCCGGAACTCAAGGACCTAGCGTTGGCCTACTTGGCGATAGGAAGAGTTAGAGGGACGGACAAGAAGGGAGGAGGGTGGCCGGAGGCTTACGGCAGAGCGCCGGAAGTACTGCTCTTGGAAGGGTCCGACTCCCGCCGAACCGTGTCGGGCTTTTAGGAGTCGGGCAGGAACCGGAGACGCTGAAGACCTGAGTCCTAGCAAACTCCGCCGTCTAGCGCACCGGCCGGTTCATTTTCTGTGCTTTCATCGGCTCAGCCGCGAAGTGAGTCGTGGACCAGCCACTCCCTGCGTCCAGCCTCGAGAACGAACGGGATCGTCCCAGCGGCGCCGTTGGGAAAAGAGGGCCAGCAGGTAGGCGTGGGTCTCTCTCGGCGTCTTTCCTCCGGGATAGGGGAGGAAGCCAGAAAACAACCGGAAGTAGCACTTGGGAGTTTTCCTTGGTAAACCACCGGTGTTGGTTGTGCCAGTCCTTGTCATCTCAGAACTCGTCAGAAATACAGCAGGTGCCCTGGACCGAGACTGCTCCCCTCGCCCTTTGATGAGGGCGTTCCTGGCTCGGACCTTGGCGGCCCTCTCCTCTCTGGCCTCTGCCTGTATGGTGTTGAGGTGGCGAGCATCTGTGTTGTGTGGCTGTGCTGCACTGGGGTGTACACGCATATTGAGGAAGATACCGCTTAGTTTATCTCTTCCCGAGCGATTGCCAGGATGATTTATTTAGTTTTTATGGTTATGCCAGTACTTAAGATAACATGAGTTATTTTTATGTGCCATACGCTGTTCTGAGTCCTTTGCTTACATCCTCTTATCCTAATAAATGCTCTGGGTTAGCTGTTATTTTTCTCGGAGGCCTAGAGAATTGAACAGTAAGGATTGTCAACCTAAAAACTTCCAAACCTGTGGAGAATTTTTATAAGCGTTTATTTGAGCCAAACTGACAGCAGATGCCAGGGAGCAAGATCTTAAACCCTCCGGAAGTTAATCGTTTTGCAGTTTCACTTATAAATTTGAACTTAAGGATGAAGCTAAGGAAGATTACAAAAGGTTGGGAGAAAGCAAGGTGGGGATTGGGTTACAGGATCGTTAATGAGATTATATGCTCTCTTGAGGGTCAGGACTTAAAAACCTTTCGTTAAAGAAGTTATAGGCCCGGGCCCTGGCCGGGTAGTTCAGTTTGTTACAGCGTCGTTCGGACACACCAAGAGCGTGGGTTTGATCTCCAGTCAGGGCACATACAAGAGGCAACCGATGAACACACAGCTAAGTGGAACAACAAATCAACATTTATCTCTTCCTTCTCTCTCTAAAATTAAAAAAAGTTACAGGCTTGGGGCGTGACTACCCACCATGACCTGCCCAGTTAGGAATTTATTATCAGATCACCTTGTGAGGTCACTTTCCATACAACCCCTTTTTTTTTTGTTCACAGGAAATAGTCAAACTAAGATTTCAATCCACGCAATTAGATTTCAGAGCCACGTTCTTAACCAGGACACAGCCACTCCTCAGTAAAAGGTCCCAGCCCATCTTCAAAACAGTCCTGGGTTCTGATCCTGCCATCCAAGGAACTCAGGAGAGGGGGACAGCCTCTGCCTCTCACCGCCCTGGAACAGGACCGGCATGTCTCAGGCCACCAAGAGGAAGCATGTGGTGAAGGAGGTACTGGGGGAGCACATGGTGCCCTCTGACCACCAGCAGATCGTGAGGGTGAGTAGCATCGGGCATAAGCTGCTCTGCCCCGACCCCTCCGCTTCTGTTGGAGCCCTGGGGTGGGGGAGGGTGCAGCCAGCCCAGTGGGTCTTTGAGCTGGCTGATGAGGCCAACTGGTTCTCGGTCTCCCGGACCAGGTACTCAGGACCCCAGGGAACAATCTGCATGAAGTGGAGACAGCCCAGGGGCAGCGCTTCCTGGTAAGCATGCCCTCCAAATACCGCAAGAACATCTGGATCAAGAGAGGTGAGAGGGGCAGCTCTCTAGAAGTTAGAACCATTTCCTGCGGCCTTGGCTTCCGCCACTGCAAGCTGGACCGACTGGCCTCTCCTCCTCTCTACCTACAGGGGACTTTCTCATCGTTGACCCTATTGAAGAGGGAGAAAAGGTGAAGGCTGAGATCTCCTTCGTGCTCTGCAAAGACCATGTGCGCTCTCTGAAGAAGGATGGGCTCTGGTAGGTGGTCCCCTTGGTCATTGGCTGCAAGATTTCTGGGAGGGATTGACTTAGCTGTGAAATTAGGGGCGGAAAGATCATAGCATCCCAGGCAGGGACAGCTGGAAACAGCTTTTATGCTGAGAGATTTCTCTGTTCTTTCTGACCCTGGCTTTTCTCCTGATACAGGCCTGAGGCCTTTGAGGTGGCTGAGAAACACAATAACAACAGGAACAGGTGAGGTTCGAGCTTTAGAGTAGAGAAGACAGAAAAAGGGGGTTCAAGCTTTAGTGCCTTGGGGAAATAGAGCCTGTCTTTCTCCCTGGTGAGGGCACCTCAATATGTGGTTCTACATATGTGGGTAAATTCTGTGGGTTAAAATCCTGGCTTTGCCACATAAACTGGGGGCTGTACACAGGTTACTTCATCTCTTAAGCCTGCATTTCCTCACCTATGAAATAGGAGCCTTGTGAGGATTAAAGGAGCTAATGCTTATAAAATTGCTTAGTATAGTATTTGTATGCAATGTGGGTCCATTGCATGTTGGTAAGTAGAACACTTATTATTAAAACCAGTGGCTCTAGTAAACTTTTGAGGGTGGGGCTGGGGGTTGTCTTTAACCTGTTTTCCTTGGCCAAGTTTTCCTGCTGTTTGCTCTGACTCCCTGTCTGACTTGCTGAGCCCTGACTACTTGGCCATAAGGTCCTCCTTTTTGTGGGGCTCCTCGTTTGCAGATCTTGCTTTCCCAGAAGGCATTGGGCTAACTCTGTCCTTTTCCCCCATGAAGACCAACTCAGCCAGAACTCCCAGCTGAGCCACAGTCATCGGGAGAAGAGTCCAGCTCTGAAGATGATTCTGACCTCTTTGTTAACACCAATCGTAGACAGTATCACGAGAGCGAGGAGGAGAGCGAAGAGGAGGAGACAGCCTGAGGCTCCAGGACCCACTTTTCCTCCTCTGACCTTGGACAATTCCAGGGTGCTCTGCAGATCTTCCCCCCAATGGGGACAAAGCAGGACTCCTCTCTGAACTGACCTTCTGACCCAGGAGAATTAAACCCCTGGTGGGTGGTGACTTGTGCTAGTGTCCGAGTGGCTCTCTGGAGGGAGAAGGGACCTGTGGTCCAGTTAAAAATTGCTCCTTGGTAGAGGTCTCATGGGCAGGAAATGGGGAATGGCTGGACATTTTGAATGAATTTAAATTGAAGAGGGAGCTAAGGTTTCCTAGGTTCGTTCTCTCTCCTCTCTCTCTGTCTCTCTCATTGGACACTTAGTAAGTGGTGGGCCCTGTGCTGTCCCTCCTTGCATGTACTTGATAAGTGGGAACAGTCCCACTTTATTGCCTGCTCGCAACCAATACTGATTCAGGCTTTCAGGATCACAGCCATAGGACTAGTCCCCCGTTGCCTCTAAGAAACACTCAGGATGAATTTCATAGTACCTCATGAGCTGATTTCCCTGCATTTCTAGTCACCATGACTGCAGGAGTGCCCACCTCCATGCTGCTGTGTACATCCCCTGGTTGCTGGACCCTTGTGGCAACTTAGACCATCATTCCTCAGCCCTCTTGTAAAACACATCATCCCACTTATCTCTTTTATTTTTTAACCTCTGGCTATACATTACTCCTCATTGCTGGCGTTGACCTTGTAGTCTCTGCTCAGACTAGAAGAGTTTATCTCCTGGCTTAGAGTGTTTTATCTCTGCTTAGTCATTTCTACATCCCATAGATGGGCCTGTTCAGCACTGTGGCTCTTTAGTTCCTTGATAATCCCCATCACTAATGCGGGTCTTCTATTCCAGGCCTGCTGCCTACATCTCTACTACCTGGACCCCCTGATATCAGTAGAAATTGTAGTACCTTTAGAAGTCAAATACTTGTACAATCACTGCCTTCTGGCTTTCTTGTTTACTTGCTCAACTACCCCTTCTGCAGAAATTCTTTATTTTCATCCTCCAGCTCCACCACATTCCCACATTATTCTATCTTCACTTTCTTCCTTCTGCCACTTGGATTCCATGGCCCACACCCTCCACTCCCCTTGTCTTCCTTCATTGTATTCAGCTACTAAAACCTAACCCCAGCCAATCCAATCTTTCACCTCTGTGCCTGTAACTATTAGAGAAAACCACCAACTGGGCTCACTTGTTTTACCTTAAATTTATAATTGTAAACCTCAAACAAACCCTTAGCACTGCCTAGTAGATCAACTCTGGGGTGCATTTTGAAACTTCTTATCTTCTCTACCTATTCCCCCTTCCCCTGCTAGTTACCACAGCTTATACTTCATTAAGAAATAGTAGGCCACCCTGACTGGTGTGGCTCAGGTGGTTGGCATGCCATCCCATACACCAGAAGGTGGTGGATTGAATTCTTGGTCAGGATACATACCTGGGTGGCAGGTTTGATCCCCAGTCAGGGCATGTGTGGGAGGCAACTGATCCATGTTTCTCACATGGATGTTTCTTTCTCCCCTCTCTCTAAAAATCAATAAAACTATATGTATCTATACATATAAAAGGCTAAGCGACCATCCAACCAGCCGGTAGGTATGACATGCACTGACCATCAGGGGGCAGACGCTCAACATAGGAGCTGCCAGCTGTGGTGACTTGGCAGCAGCGGTTCTTGGGTGATGTACCCGAGAAATACGTTAATAGCAATATTAACATATTTCTTCTAATTTCCTTTCAATGTGCACAAATCTGTGCACCGGGCCACTAGTATATACACACACACACACACACACATTTATTATTTATTTATTTTTTTAAAGAAAATAAGAAATAGTAGGCCGTTGGTGAGAATTCACACCTCCCCTTTACCAACCCTACAATGTCTTCATGGATCTTCCTGTCTTTTTTACTTTCCATTGTAATCCAATGGGACTTCAACCTTTCCACATGTATCTGCTCCTCTCCTCACTTTCTATTATGTTGCTTAGTCTAGCTTTAAATATATACACATGTGTGCATTTGTGTGTATGTGTACATACATGTGTTTAAAATATATATAGAGAGAGAGAGCACTAGCTGGTTTGGCTCAGTGGATAGAGCATCGGTCTGTAGGCTGAAGGGTCCTAGGTTCGATTCAAGTCAAGGGCACATGACTGAGTTGTGGGCTCGATCCCCAGTGTGAGGCATGCAGGAGGCAGCCAATCAATGATTTTCATCATTGATGTTTCTATCTCTCCCTCTCCCTTCTCTGAAATCAATAAAAAAAGTTTTAAAAAAGAATGAAAAAATGTATATATACACACAAAGAGTAAACATCAGGTGCGGTAGAGACATGTATTAATTTGTTTGAAGTTTATTTTTTATGGGAGATAGCTAACTTTTTTTCCTAAAGTTGTGGCCACTTGTCCCTCTATCATTTATTGAATGGTTCATTCTTTCCTCATTGCTTTAGAATACCTTTTAAAATAAACTATATTCCGCCCTGACCGGTTTGGCTCAGTGGATAGAGCGTCGGCCTGTGGACTCAAGGGTCCCGGGTTTGATTCCGGTCAAGGGCATGTACCTTGGTTTCGGGCACATCCCCAGTGGGGAGTGTGCAGGAGGCAGCTGATCGATGCTTCTCCCTCATCGATGTTTCTAACTCTCATTCCCCTTCCTTCCTCTCTGTAAAAAAATCAATAAAATGTATTTTTTAAAAAATAAACTATTCCTGCATATATGTGGATCTCTTTGGAATTTCTAATCTGTCATGTTCATCTGTGTACAGAACCACATTCTATAGCATGATTGATACAGCTCCCTCACCCCTGCCCCACTGTTCCTGGAACATTTCATAGTTTCATGTCTTTTCTGACATAAGAACTTTAGAGTGGATTGTCAATTTTCAAAGTCCTGTTGAGATTTTCATTGGCATGAATTTAAATCTCATAGTTTGATTTGGAGGAAAGTACTATCTTAAGACTTATGAATCTTCTTATCCAAAAATGAGGTTATGTTTGTCCTTTTGTAAAGTGTTATTTCCATGTGGGTCTCTAATGTTTCCAGTTCAGTTTAGTCTCAGGAATCTGAGAGTTATTTGTTGTTAAGAATAGGTCTTTTAAAATTACATTTCTAACCGTCACTGGTGTGTAGGAAAGCTGTCCATCTTTGTGGGCTCACCTAATCTAAATGAGTTCTGATTCTCTTGCTGACTAAAGAGTAAAATCTGCTAGAGGTAGGTTTACCTGATCCTTTATGCTCATTTCTGTTCTTGAATTGTAGAGGCCAGGACCTCCAGTAGAATGTTGAGTGGCACCCTTATTTGTTCCTCTCTTAGCAGGAGTTCTCGTGTTTTCTTGCTTTAGGCTTCTCAAGACAACCTTCATTAGGCTGAAGGTACCTCCTTCCGTTCTAGCTTACTGAGGGGTTTTTCTTCACTCAACACATCATGATGAATTTCTACATCTATTGAGATAATCAGAAGATTTTGTTTTATTGTATTGATTTTCATTAATAGATTCCCTAATATGGAACCATTCTCACATTCTGATGTAAACCCTGCTTGATTTTATAATATTGAGTTAGGATTTTTAAATTTTTTTTTTTTTATTGATTTTAGAGAGGAAGGGAGAGGGATAGAAACATCAATGATGAGAGAGAATCATTGATAGGCTGCCTCCTGCATGCCCCCTACTGGGGATCAAGCCTGCAACCCAGGCATGTGCCCTTGGCCAGAATCGAACCTGGGACCCTTCAGTCTGCAGGCCAACGCTCTATCCAGTGAGCCAAACCGGCTAGGGCGAGGATTTTTATATCTTTCAGGCAAATTTCGCTTTTTTTAAATTTTATTTTTAGAGACAGGAAGGGAGAGGGAGAGAGAACATCGATCCACTGCCTCCTGCACGCCCCCTACTGGGGATTGAACCCACAGACCGGGCATGTGCCCTGACTTGGAATAGAACCAGCGACATTTCAGTGCACAGGATGATGCCCAACCAACTGAGCGACACCAGCCAGGGCTCACTTTGTTTTAATGATCTGAGCTCCCTGTCCCATTTGATAACAATTATGCTAGCATGTAGAACTGGTTTAGAAACATTTAATCTTTTTCTTCAGGTTTGAATTCATAGAAAAGGAATTATTTGTTTCTTCAGAATTTGATGAAATTTATTTATAAAAACATCTGCACTTAGGCATTCTATCCAAGTTTTCTATCCTGGAGTCAATTTTGATAACTTTTTTTTAAGAATCATTTTATGTATAGTTAAGGTTTTGGGAGGCCAAAAGTCATGTGTAGTAATTGGCATAAGTGACAAAAATCTCACTTGAGTTAGCAGAATCAGACAAGCTCATTGGCCTGAGATCTGAGAGCAGAGCTTTAGGCAGAGCTGACCCAGGGCCAGCATGGTTCCTCGGGGCTCTCTCATTTGTTTCTCGGGTTGTCTCTGCTTCTCTCGGTTGATGGGTCTCTTACTCCCTACAGGAGGCTCCCCTTTCCGCTCAGTCCTTACAAAGAGTTCCTTCCTCATGATTCATGTATTTCCAGAAAGAACAGTTGTCTTGCTCAGTCACCTGCCCTCTCTTGGGCAATCACTGTGGCCAGGGCTGAGTAGGGAGTTAGGGAGCTGGGGGGAGGCAAGATGAGCCACCCCTGGTCCACATGACATGTTTCCCATGGAATAGAGAGGTTCTTATCCCAGAAAAAGGGAAAGGAGTGAGAGCAAATCAAACCAGCAGATTCCCGTCCTGGTTTCTGTGTATTTTCTTTGGCTAGCTTTGCAAAATGCCTACTATGTTGGCCTTTTCCTGTTTCTTTGGGTTTATTTTCTGATTTCTACCTTCTGAGTTGTATGTTTTGCTAATTTAATTTCAGTCTTGTTTTTTTTTAAAATATATTTAGAGCTATAAGTTTTCCTGTGACTGTTGCCCACTGTGTGTGATATTTTTGGCATTGTGTCTGTAAGCTTGGCCTTACGTTTTCTCCTGCTCTCAGTGATTCTGCAACTCACCTAATAGACTCTTTTTTTCCTCTGAGACCTTTTCATCTCTACTTCTCCATCTATTAGCCATTTAGCTCCTGGGGATTGTAGCTCAGAATCTTGATGGAGGTAGAGTCCTTGTATTCTGCATGCTTCTCCCCTTTTCATTCTCTGAAGCTGAATTCCACCCCTTTTTCTCAACTCTGGTGGAATCCGACTGTGTGAATAGATCTTCCAGAATGAGTGAGTGTTTTAAGGGCCCCCTTTCCCTCCCCAGTGCCATGGACAAGCCTCATGACTGGTCACCTCACAGTATTGACCCCTCCTGCAGTCAGGCTTGCGAATTGTGGCCCTCAGGCTCTGTACCTCTGTCCCTTTAGGACCAACCTTCTCAGCCAGGCTATTTCCACTAGGCTTCTCCCCGCAGCCCGGCTCCCTTTCTCCCCTGTCATCCAGCCACCCATATACAAGGTGGGCAAAAGTAGATTTACAGTTGTGAGTACACAGTTTATTCTTGTATTATTATTTATTAATTGCATTGTTTTCCATACAAACAACTGGAAACTTACTTTTGCCCCATCTTGTATGTGTACCAAGGAGCACACTCGACAATCCAAGTTAACTACATGGGTTTTCTCCTTTAAATCTGAAAATGTGGTGACATATCTGTGTGTGTGTGTGTGTTGAGATACCTTGACACAGTTTCCCACGGTAAAACATCCTTGCATTCCTGGAATAAGAGTCATGACATTTTCAGTATGTTGCTGGATTTGTTTTTCTGATATTTGGGGCACTTCTGCACTCAGGTTCCTAAGTGAGATGGCTTGAGCTTTTCCTTCCTGTGCTGCCCTCGTCTGGTTTTTATATTAAGGTTATGCCAACCTCCTAAGATAGAGTGTTCTCTATTATTTGTTTTCATTACACGTGTTCATATTAAGATTGGAAGTTTG